AATGTAATGTAATTTTCAACTTTACAATTTTGTATTTCTCTTAGAAGTTAGAAAAATTAATATAATAACATACATTAGTAAAGAAACAAAATTAACATTTCAATTCTAACTTTAATCGAACAGTTGAAACCACGAACGGACTTAGCCTCGATCCAAGTAGTTTATGGCTGCTTTTTACACATGCTATATCTAGTGGAAATCAATATTTGTTTAATTGGGTGCGAAATATTTTGTTTGGTTCTTCGAGTGGACAAAACGATACAAACGTAATTACTTCTACCGAAATGTCTATGGAAACTGGTAAGAATTTGATTTGATATTTTTATTAACTATCGCTATTACTCACTTTTCTCGAAACTTTTATTTGTTTATCAAGATAATTTAAAAAAAAAAAAGTTAAGAAAATATTTAACTATAATAATAAAAACGATTTAGAGAAGAAAAAAGATATATACTATATATAATCGTTCTTTTTTTTTTAGATTAGTCCAGTAATTTGTAACGATATGACGTTATTTTACGTAAACAATAATGTTTTGTATGAAGACGCAAAAATGAAATATATTATATAATTATAATCATGCAATAAATATTATTCCAAAAAATATAGATCAAATAAAAACTACATAATATATAATACGTCTGAAATATAAAAAATATTTTGTTACGTTAATCGTGAAGTCTAAAAAACGAAGTTTTTGTTCGTCGTTTAAAAGATACGTTGTTGTAGTCGTCGTGTTAGAATAGATCGAAACGCAGGAGCATTGAATGCACGTAAAATACAAGTGCAATAAAGCTATAAATCCGTTCGACGAAAACGTTTCGCGAAAACTCACGTTTTGTGAGATATTACCTGACCGATAGCTTTTAAGTGGAAACGTGTGTATATCTATGTACGAAGAGCTCAGCTGGTTGGTCAAAAACCGATCTGGTTTTATTACTTTTTTAACTTCTTTGAAAAAAAAAACCGTCTATGTATACGGATTTCGAAGGAAAAACGAACAGTCCAAAGCAAATCGTGCTGTCCGATGCAAGTCTTCGATATTCTACAGATTTTTCGTTACAAATATTATATTTTCGGGAAGGAACAAAAAGTATAATCAAAATCGAGAATAACAAGTGCGTGAAAATTGTGCGTGAAAATTGTGCGTGAAAATTGTGCGTGAAAATTGTTCGTAAGATGTAATTGTGCTATCTCTACGTGATTTTATATTTAAAATATTAAAAGATTTATACAGGTACGAAGGGTCTTCACGTAGATAGGTTGAAAGGTTTTTAATCTAACATGGAACAAAATTTTGGTATCGGTCACTCTTATTTAAAAAAAAAATAATATTGAATAAAAATTTATCTTTTCTTGAGGCTCAACATTTTTCAACCAATCCTGATATTATCATTATATAATATGTTCTACATTTATATTATTATTATTCGTTTATTATGATGCACTCACTTTGCACAATTTCACTGCTAACTGTAACTAATGAACAATTAAAATAATATCTTCTTAATCGAAGATAAAAATCACAATAATTAGTTCGATTTTCACTATAATACTCCAAAATTGCACACCGTAAATAATAAGATATGTTATTTTTCAATAATATTACACGAATTAGATTGCAAAAATTGTTTTCTTTTTCTTTTTCGATGAAATATTTATGTGTCAGTGAAGAACATGGAAGTAACGCCATTTTGGAGCATCCCTTTTCACCGCGTAAACTTCCCTCGAATTATTCGATCCACTCTTCAAGTAACATCCCCTATGCGCACAAACAACATGGTTGCCTTACGTATCTATGGCAACACCCTATAGTACTCGACAATATTCGTTTTGTTAAAGTAAGAGTAAAGGGAGAGAAAGGGGCGCGTGTTACAGGGGCTGATACGCCTCGCCCCATACATTCTCTCTTCCGCCATGAGTATCGTAAATTCTTCAGCTATGGCTAACACGATAAAAGATGAGTAACGAAGTATATTTTTATATATAGTTCTTTATTTTTTTATTATTATTATTATTATTATTCCGATTTTTTAATTTGTTTTTACCAAATTTCATGCTTTTTATTATAAGAACAAATGAAGAATACTATAACGATTTATTTTTCATATTTCTTTAATTAAATAGTATTCCACATAAAAAAGAAAATGTTTAGATGAAATCTTATTGTAAGGAAATATAAAAGATATGTTTTTAAATCTCTCTTTCTCTCTCTCTCTCTCTCTCTCTCTCTCTCTCTCTCTCTCTCATTTTAGAAGTTAATTTTCTTATTATATCCATCTAATATTATATGACAATAAAAATCTTTAAATGTATAATAGTTTTTTCTTACTATTTCTAAAATAATATTGCTAATAGTAATAATAATATGCTTAGTCGTTCCTTTGATATGAACAAAAATATAAAATAAAAAGATTACATTAAACGTGGTGGATTAAAAAGTTTTGAGCCGAACACAGAAAAATTCCGTTTCATAGACTAACTTTTTTCGACATAGTCTCAAAACTTGTATATAATTGAATTCAAAATTTGTCAACCCACTCTCATATATATCTACTAACCGTTTTGTTCAACTTTCGGATTCGTGTATTTTTTCTTCCTTTTAAATTATTTCAGTAAAGTAGGTAAAAATCTAATAAAGTTAAATGTACGAAAATAAACAATAAATTTGTGTAACTTGACGTCATAGGTCGTAACGCGACAATAATTTAAGAATACCGTTGGTAAAATAAGCATGAACGATGCGTCATGCCTTTTTTTAGATTTAAAGACGCATATAAAAGATCTAAATGTGAAACGTTAAGACTTAGGAGCCCTTCGACAAAGTGTCGATGTTCTGTATAGGCAATCTTGAAGGAAGGAACATTTAAATACTGCCGACTTGTCATCGCCATAATAAAACCACTAAATCACCAATAAACTTCTCATTTATTGACGAATCTATGTTCGATAACGATACTTTTTGCGATTTGGTAGCAATCTGCCACTAAATACGTTTGAATTATTCGTGAATTTTTAAGAATATGTATAGAAAAGAAATCTCAACAATTAGAAGAAATTGACGATCTGTTGTCTATGCTGTATTCGTTAAAATAATTTCCAAAAAACAAAAATAATATTAGTTTGTTTGAGACCTTGTTTCACAAAGAATCGTGTATCGAAAATTCTGTATTTTATATTATTTATTAAATATTACATATTGAAATATCTCTACAGTTATTTATCAACAAATAACATTGACTTATTTCTCCTTCGTTTAGCTTGTTTCTATCAGTCGAACAGTGACGATTGTGCAAAAGTAGTAGCTGAATATTATAAACAACGATTTCAAAATCGTCATCAACCAGACAGAAAGATAAAACAGAAGATAGGTAAGGTAGGTAATACAGAACTTAATTGAATATGGTTTCTTTCATAATTATCATAAGTCTGATGGTAGTAGAAGGTCTTTAGATTTCGAATTTTCAAGGCACAATTTTCTCCAAACTTATTCATTTTAAATTTAATACATTATTTTAAATAATAACCAAGAGTAAAAAAGAAATATTGTCCAATAAATTAGAATAGAAATGTGTATTAGACACACAGATCGTAATACAAATAAGTTTTTTTTTAAATAGTTAGAATTAGAATAGTTTTATATTTGCAAGCAAACTTATTTGTATATTGCAGCCTAATATTTAATATATTTCTTTAGTAAATAACTAAGAATAAAAAAACCTTTTTTGTCTAATATTATATCGTAACATGGACGTAGAAGACATCGAAAGAAAGATAGGGGCTAGATGGTAACTCGTAAAACAGCTTATTAAATCGCACAAGGAGAATAAGGGAATGGCATGTAAGCCAATAAGAAGGAAGTTCTTATTGGGAAGGCTTCTACCAGAGAAGCTCTATATCGTAGAGAGAACATAAAACTAAAAATGGACCAATAGCGATGTGTTTCGAGGGTTACAAGAGGGTGGTTGAAGGAGGGTTGCAGAAAATGTAGTATCTCCCTTTTCCGATCCCTTGCGCTCGTTTCTTCAGTAATGGCAAATATTCCGTAGCCGATATTATGCTTCCGCACGGCTTCCATCAAACGTTAAAATCTCCTAAATTAATCTCGTAAAGAAAAAAAAAAAAAGAAAAGAAAAAAAGAATAAAAAGAAAAAGAAGAAAATTGCTTCTGTATATTCGATGGTACGCTATGATAAACGATTCGAGTTAAAATTTATTACTATTTCCTCATATCGGGCATTTAATTGTAAATTGGTACTTCTACGTTTAAAATATGATAGGTGAGTACATATTTAGTTGTATCTAATTTTTATTCATATTTATAAGAAGATAACGCTCACGTTTTATGAACTCTTACAATCATAAATTCAATGTGCTAAAGATAAACTTTGTACGTGTTTATTTTATTTTATAAATTACAAAATATATGAGTCGCTCAGAAACCAATGCGGTTAAGTTCATTTTTCGATATTTTCTGATTTTTGTAAATATATATATTTTAATGGAATAAATAATATTCTTCTTACTTATTAAAAGATTTACTTGTTGCTTTTTTCTTTTTTTTTTTTGGAGCCGCCAAAAGATGAAAGTCATACATTTGTTAAGATGCTGCCATTGTCCCAATAAATGCTTACGTTTTTATTTGTAGATTGCTTTGTTGCATAATTTACCCTTTAAAAAAAGTATTTATGTATATACTTTCCTCATCAAATTAAGAAACCAAAAATTTTTAAAACAAATTTATTACAAAACATTCATTTTCTCAATTTTTGTTTTCTGAACTTGCATTGGCTTCTGAGCGACTCATATCAAGTCGGATCAAGCAAATAATTTCTACTTCGAATCTTTGTATTCTCCCTCTTTTATTTTTTATTTTTTATTATTATTCTCTTTCAACAAGTCACATATAATAGAATATTTTAAAATAAAATCGTTGGAATAGAAAAAGGAATAGAAAAAAAATAGCAAATGGAATAGAAAAGAATTAGCTACTATGACATCAGTTTCAAAAAAATGTTTATTTGATTGATCATTTACCAAGAAATATTAAATTCATAATTATTGCATATCGAGGTACATACGCAGTAGTACAGACGGCCTATCACTTAATGATTGCATATTGATATATCAAAAGTTATGAATGAGTTTGGTCGTGACTCGAAATGCGACTAAATCGATATGATATCGATTATTTGATTTGAAAGGACTGATCGAATTCGAGAGTATATGTAATAGCCTATTTGTGGAAATCTCAACTCCGTTTGAATTCATTTTTCCCGATTCTCATATGCCTTTCGGATTTAATAGAAAATAAATTTGATGATAGTAGATATTTCCAAAACCTTTCCACGTGGACGTCAATGTCGTTATTTTATTTAGACGTTTCTCCGCACACAATTCTCAAAATACCAAAAATTATTTATTATTAGCATTTTGATGATGAAACACGCATGGCATTTTTTTTAATTTAGTCTTTGTTTTCTGTCTATTTTTTCAATCTTTCATTTTATTATTTTTTTGTTTCTA